TTATTTGCTCCCAGGTGTGTCCCATTGGTGTCTGTGCATTTAAACCCTGTGTTTCCCAGTGTTTTCTGTCTGCTGTTAAATGTCATTCTGTCTACTTGATGTCTCCAGTGTTTCCATGTGATCCGAGCGTTACCCTCATTAAACCCTTTTGATTTGTATTACTCCTCGTCTCCTCGCTCCTTCGTTCCTTCCTCCCCGAGTGACCGTGACAATAATATGCAAGTTTAATTCTGTTTGTGGACTTGCTTGTGGTCTCAATAAAATATACATTAATGGGTGCTGGAAATAGAGATAAACATGAATAATTATAGAGCTCTTTTTGGATCAGTCCAGAATAGTTTACTTAAGGGTCATAATTGTTTCATTGCTTGGCCAATTTATGAGAAACACCATGTACATTATATAGCTTTTGAATAAAATTTGCACTTTACTATCAATTTCAGTAAATCACCTATAATAGTGGTTTATGCCCGTGTTATTTTAGTATTAATGAGATACTATTTTAGTTTTTATTAATATTTTGAATTATATTTTATTTTTATATGTTTTCATTTATTTGAAGTTTTAGTAATTTTGTTGTGTGTTTTTGACATTAGTAGTTTTTATTAGTTTTTTTATTATTAGTTTTTTAATACATTTATATAGTTTAATCCATTTTTTATTTAATTTTAGTTATTTTAGTACATCAAGTTAAACTAAATGAAAATGAGAAAGGTTGCCTTGGCAACTAGCTGAATGCAGTTTTAAAAAATTTTAATACTTTTAATTTTATTTCAGTTAAAATTTATTTTACTTCAAATAACAAAAGCTTTTTATGGTTTTAGTTTTAGTTAACTATAAAGTTATTTCAGGGTAAATGTCCAAAAACAGTATTGTTTTGTTTTCAGTAGGATTTTCAGTAGGATTGTATATAGAGCAACATTTGAATTAAAAAATTGTGAAGCTGCCTTTTTATTGTTTATTTGTTATTGTACAGGGTTTTGTTTAAATTGATGTAATAATTGATACTTTTGACTCATCCCTTTTCTTAAAAATATTTTAAAGGCTGAAATGTGCAGTTTATCATTTTATACAACTTTTTGTTTTTGTGAAAACCTAAATCTGAACTACAAATAACTATGGTCATTATTTCCATTGAACTCTATTGGTAATGGACGGAATTTGCGACCATAGTTGCTTTTGGGAAATACACCCCTGTGCAACGCCCTTAGAAACATAAACAATCCATATACTACTATCAAAAACTCTTCCATCTATTTTGTAATTGGGCATAAAGTAGTTTATTATTTATGTAATGAAGTATGAGTGACCCTTGCTGGCGGTATGTTGCATCATTCACCTTTGATTTTGAGAGCCCGCCCTTCACGCAGTCAAAGAAAACGAATGTTTTCTCATGCTGAGAGATAAACAAATATCATATGATGCGGAAACATCATATATTGTGTTAAAAAATAATGAGCTGATGAGAACAGTTCTTAGGCTATTTTTGTATTTGAGCTCCATCAGATGAGGGTGTTACAACTGAACATTGCTGTAGACTGAAACAGTTACTGTAACAGGGACTATTTTTCCTAGCGGAAGGATGGCATTTAATGATTTTACTTAAACAAAAAGTAACATTAAGGGGTGAGTAATTTTTCAAAATTCATGTCTCAAGCTCTTGGATTTATTCTTCTTTGCATGTGTGTCCTGTAGGAATGCTTCCAGTTCATCCTGCCCGCTCTCCCGCACGCCATCGACCTGCTCCGAGAAGCTGTGGTCAAAATGAAGGAGGTGCCAAACGAGCTGGAGGACCTGCCCTCGCCTCCACCTCCTCCGTCCCCGCTGCCCGCCAGCAGCCCACACCGGCAGACCGAGGACAAGGGTGTGCAGTGTGAGGACGAGGAGGAGGAGAAGAAGGACAGCGGTGTGGCCTCCACAGAGGACAGCTCCTCCTCGCACATCACCGCCGCCTCCATCGCTGCCAAGGTAAACCTGTAGCTATATATAAATCAGTTATGCTATACAAAAGTGTTTCTCACACAAGGGCATAGAATTTAGTAGGGATGCTAGTGACATGGCCCTGCCAATATCCAGCGACTACTAAATTATCCCTAGCAATAGTTTTGATAAAACAGTTAAATATATGTATATGTAACTACTGTTGTTGTAATTTTGGCCGCATCTGAAATAGGTCATACCATTGATTGATATTACCTGAGAAGTTAAAGTAAATACGTTAGAAAAGTACATCCTTGAAACTGAACTTTTCGAAACTTCGAAATCAGTTCAAGCATTGCGTCGCAAAATGATTAACTGTTTCAAAACGCTCCAATTGGATTGCGAATCATTTGATTTAGATTGGAACTTCAGAGCGGGTTTGTGAATCTTTACATTCATTGTAGCGGGTTCGTTAATCATTTCACGAATTGAAAGATTTGTGATACACACTCCGAAGTTCCAATCTGAATTGATGGTTCACAAATCATTATTTAGTTCAGATCGTGGAGCGCGACTCATTTGTCTTAGATCGGAACTTTGGAGCGGGTTTGTAAATCTTTTAATTCAGATTGGGACTTCGGAGCGTGGAGCGCGAATCATTTGATTTAGATTTGGACTTCGGGGCAAGGATCGCGAATCATTTGATTTAGATCAGAACTTCAGAGCGGGTTCATGAATCTTTTAATTCAGATCGGAACTTCGAAAAGCGTATCGCGAATCATTTGACTTAGATCGGAACTTCGGAGTGTGTTTGTAAATCATTATTCAGATCTAGACTTCGGAGCGCATATCGCGATTCATTTGATTTAGATCGGGATTTCAGAGTGGGTTAGTGAATCTGTTGATTCAAATCAGGACTTCGGAGCGTGGATCACGAATCATTTGATTTAGATTTGGACTTCGGGGCAAGGATCGCGAATCATTTGATTTAGATCAGAACTTCAGAGCGGGTTCATGAATCTTTTAATTCAGATCGGAACTTCGAAAAGCGTATCGCGAATCATTTGACTTAGATCGGAACTTCGGAGTGTGTTTGTAAATCATTATTCAGATCTAGACTTCGGAGCGCATATCGCGATTCATTTGATTTAGATCGGGATTTCAGAGTGGGTTAGTGAATCTGTTGATTCAAATCAGGACTTCGGAGCGTGGATCACGAATCATTTGATTTAGATTTGGACTTCGGGGCAAGGATCGCGAATCATTTGATTTAGATCAGAACTTCGGAGCGGGTTCATTAATCTTTTGATTCAAATGGGAACTTCGGAGCTCATATTTGGAATCATTTGATTCAGAACGGTACTACTGCATATCGTGAATCTTTACAGTTTTACTACAAATACCATGGTTAAACTATGGTTAGTGTAGTAAAACCATGGTTAATTAGTGGATACAATGGTGTGTTTTTTTTATTATTATTATTTTTTGTAAAACCATGGTTAATTTTCGGAAGGGATGTGTTGCCAGGTTAACAAAAAAAAGTAATAAATTTACACCTTAAGAGGATACATAGGATAAATATAGAGATACAGTTTTGATTGCTTTAGGATGAGCACAGCTTTGGATAGTTTCCAAATACTGGTCTAGATCAACTCTGCATAAAGAAAATAGAGGTTTAGAGCCAGATTTTTGTTTATGTATGTGAAATTCATCTAGCAGGGAACACAAATTAATTAAGTTATTCTTTGCTAAATTCTCTTTTGAGTACTCAAACAATCAAAACATCTTTAAAACTGCTGCTGTAATGTTGTTGGTTTAATCAAAATTGTGTAATTATTGTCTGATGAATATGCTAAAATAAAAAAGCTCTCTTTATGAATTGAGTATGTTAGTTACCATAGCTGTAAATAAATACTTTAGATGACATGAAACTGTGGTCAAAAGTCTATCATAAATGTAGAAATGTCTGTGTAGGTGGATGGGGAGGGGGTGTTGTCTGCTGTTATGTCCTCTTTAATGTCAAAATCAAACCTTCACCCTAGTTCTCACATGACTGTGTTGGACGTTTGCAGGTGTTCCATTTGTCTTCATTCTCATCATGATATTGTGTGTCATCTTCATGTGTGCTGCAGCATCCACTGGTGTGAGTGAATATCATGACAGCATCTTCACATCATTTGTGTGCTTGTGGTGTTTGTGTCGACCTCATTCATCATTTATAATTTGTGTTTAGAAACAATTCTCTGAATTGCCTTTACACAGTCTTCAAATAAGATCTGAATGTAATGTTTCAGACGCTTAACTGCATGTTATTTGCAATTAAATGAAAATGTATTATAATGTAAATTTATATTAAATGCATTTAGTTGAGCTTTTTTTGCCCACTTATGTGGGACTTAAGTACATCTTATATGTAATTTCATAACTACTTCTATTGTTTTGGAATATGATTAATATGTACTGCCGAATGTAAACTAAAATTTAATGTCATTTTTATTCAGACTTGTATGTTATGTATTTAAATATATTTGTAATTGCTCATTTGCAATGATGTTGCAATTAGTATATTTAAATACATAAAAACATATTAAATACATTTAGCATGTTACTACATACATTACCTCAAAATTCATTGTTATTTTTAATGTAATTATGGCTTAACATCCCTCACAATTTTCTGCTGAATACTGAAAAAGTTGATATTGAACTGCCACAGTCTTCTCCTTTTTCACATAGCAAGAGTTAGTGAGTCATATTAGGCCAAAAAACGTGAAAAATCTAGAAATACTGTTCCATCCGTGGACTTTTTAGCATATTATTTTCAGTGTACTACAACTTGGAACACACTAAATAGAACGCAGATTGGGACGTATGCGAAGTGTGTGATTACAAACATGACAAGAACATGTTTCACCACAAGCTCAGTGGAAATAAATTATTTCAAAACTTGCAGACTTTTTACATTATTTAATGCACAAATTATAAGAGAGCAGATATTTGGAACTTTATGATTTTAATAAACATCCTTCTTTTATGTCTTAGATTCCCGACTCCATCATCTCACGGGGCGTCCAGGTTCTTCCCCGTGACACGGCGTCTCTGAGCACCACGCCGTCCGAGTCGCCACGCGCCCAGGCTACCTCTCGCCTCTCCACCGCTTCCTGTCCCACCCCCAAGGTGAGAGCGCCTCACTTCCTGTTTCCTGTTTCCTGTCCTCGCACTGTTCGCTTCCTGTCTGCCGTTCCTCTGCCTCCCCACCTCGCTCACCCTGCTGCTGACCTCCACGCTCACCTCACCCCAAAACCCCTGTCAGAGTCCCATCCGTGTGTGGATTTCACAGGATTCCGTTTCATATGTTGGATACTGAAGAATTCTGCAGTTTTGTCTTGTTTTCCAGGACAAATATCTAAACATTCTTAAATCAAAATGCATTTACTTGAGAAGTGAAATATGTTTTGTTTTCTGAAAAGTTAAGCAAGTTATTTGTTAAAAAATGCCAGTGGGGTCAGAAAAATAAACTTAATTCAAAGGGAAAACAAGATTCAATTTCTGACCCCATTTGTAGATTATTTGTTCTAGTTTATACAAAAACACACTTAATTTTGATAAATTTTTCAGAAAACAGTGCTCGATATCTTGAAGTCATTTTGCATTTCCAATAAATGTATTTTAATTTAAGTTTAGATATTTGTATTGGAAAACAAGACAAAATTACTGAGGAAGGAAGTTTTTTGTTTTTAATTTGCAAGGAATATATATATATTTTTTTTTATATTTATAGATCATTTTCAGAGGGCAGTCTATTGGAGTTTCATCTTGCACAGCACAAACTGTCTGTGTTTTATTTCAGTAAAAACGCTACATTTAAAGCAAAATATCGAACAAATACAGTTGCAATGCTCTAAAGGTCTAAACTGCTCTTTTGCAAACTGTAAAAACAAATGTGAAACGGCACCATCAAACTGCTAAAAAAGTATTTAGAAGTCATTTTTAAGCCATACAATATTTTGTGTGATTCACAGAAGTCAGAAGTCAAATATTTAAGTCAATATGTATGGATGACTTTTATTAAATGATCATAATTTTAAACGCTAAAAAAATGCAAGAGTAAAAAACCTGTTCACTGTTTAACAGCAAATTCCCTTACTATATATGGTGAAAAACTCTAATAAATCTAATGGGATGTTTTAAATTTACAGTTTTTGTAAGTGAAAAAGATTTTATAATTTTTAGTCATTTTTTAATTTACAGTACAAGTTTACATAAAGTATACATATACCAAAATTAACCGTTTTTTCATTGAAATAGCTGTTTCTTCTTAGTTTCTTGTCACTTATAAACATTAGGGTTTTATATTGCATCTTATGTTGCTAAATGAATGTTTATTGCATTATTTTAGCGTGACCATGATAGTGTTTGTGTGAATGCAACCTTATATATTAGTATTGACCTCGGCTTGTGGAGTACAAGTTTACATAAAGTATACATATACCAAAATTAACCGTTTTTTCATTGAAATAGCTGTTTCTTCTTAGTTTCTTGTCACTTATAAACATTAGGGTTTTATATTGCATCTTATGTTGCTAAATTAATGTTTATTGCATTATTTTAGCGTGACCATGATAGTGTTTGTGTGAATGCCACCTTATATATTAGTATTGACCTCAGCTTGTGGAAAAACTTGTTGTGATGAAAACATGTTGTTTTTTCATTACCAACAGTGTTTTATGATGGTTGTCAGTGTACTATAAAAGTACAAAACTAATTTTAGTCCTCCAGTAGGCTGGTATATATATTAACTTTAACTGTATTTTAGTGAAGTGAAGTGAAGTGACATGTGGCCAAGTATGGTGACCCATACTAGGAATTAGTGCTCTGCATTTATCCCATCCTAAGTGCACACACACAGCAGTGAACACACACACACTGTGAACACACACCCAGAGCAGTGGGCAGCCATTTATGCTGCGGCGCCCGGGGAGCAGTCGGGGGTTCGGTGCCTTGCTCAAGGGCACCTCAGTCGTGGTATTGAAGGAGGGAGAGAGCGCTGTACATTCACTCCCCCCACCTACAATCCCTGCCGGTACGAGACTCGAACCCGCAACCTTTGGGTTACAAGTCCGACTCTCTAACCATTAGGCCACGACTTCCCCCAATTTTAAGTTCAATCCGTAAAATCTTGCCATCATATTTTTTTTTTTTTAAGTTCTGGCAACCTCAGACGCCAGTTTTTTACCATAAACTCCACAGATGTTTTTATTTTTTTATTTTAACAGTATGGTGTATTTATTTATATATGTATTTATAAAGTATTTAGCATTATTTAGCAATGTTTTGGCCAATTGACCTTCCTCAGGTTTAGAATGTACGCAAATTATCAACAAATTTAAATTCATATTTTTTATATATGGATTTATATAATTCTAGTCATTATTAGCTGAAATTATTCCCTTCCACCATTGCTTTCAAAACTTGTTTTTGCAATGCATTTTTAGATTCCAGTGTTATTTTAGTATCATTGAGATGCTATTGTAATTTTTATTAATATTACAGTATGGTGCTTTTGTGCTTTTGCGATAAATGTGGGATCAATTTGGAAAAAGTGTTAAATTAATTGCAAATAAAAAGTAAAAATTAATTGACATCTGTTTATAAATGTCTATTCGACTGAAGATGAACATTCGACTGAGTTTTCTGAACATTTATTACATTTATGCCTTTGGCATTATGCTTTTGTTTAAGTGACTTACATTGCATTCAAGCTATATACATTTTTTGAGCAATTTATGCTTTCCCTGGGAATCGAGCTTTTATTCATTTTTATTTTGTTTTAATATTAGTTATTTTAGTACAGCAAGTTAAACTAAATAAAAATGAGAAATGCAGCAACTTGTTGCAATGTATATTTTATATATAAATAGAATATTTTTTATAATATTTTATTTTTATAAAACATTTATTTCTTTATTAAGTTTGTTCAAGTAAAAAAAAGAAAAATTGTTTGTGGTTTTATTTTTTATTTTTTTCCATACAATGAAAGTAAATGTCGTCCAGTGTTGTTCGAGCTCTAATTGTTTTTTTATTTGATTTTATTTTTTTTGTGTGTGTTCTGCAAAAAGAAAGTCGTGCAGATTTAAAACAACATGAGAGTGAGTGAATGTTGATGAATACAAATTTTCCCTTTAAAAAATGTAACCGATATCGATGATGTCATCATAAGATTTGCATTTTGAATTGTGATTGGTCATGTCTTTAACCATTTTAGATGCTTTCACTGCACAGTGACTAAACCGGGATGTGCCCTTAGTGTCATGATAATGACAAAGGAAAAACTCAAGAATCACAATTGTTTCACCAGAAACATCATTTGATTTATAGCCGTCCTGATCACTAGCATACTCAGACTCTCTCTGTGTCTCTCGATGTCACTTCCTGTCTTGTGTTCTCTCACAGTCGCAGACACACAGATGATGATATGGCTGTGGCAGTCCTCCACACAGTTATATAACACGGTTACATAACAGTGAGCCACTAACACACATACCAGTTCCTGTGATTATCTGCAAATGCAATCCTGCATCTCATTTTAATGCACAAGTAATTGGGCAGAATGGTGATGGCTCATTCATTAAGGATATATTGATTAAAACCCTCTGCATTCTGTCTTAAGATGGGCACTTAATGGAATATTTTGAGTTTGAGATTTTATTAAAATTATTTTTGCATTTGCAACCTGCTGTTGATTAATACAGAAAATAATTTAGACTTGTAACATACTTTAATCATGCAGCATGCATGTACACTACAATTGAAAACTGTGTGGGTCAGTAAGAGTTTTTTTTTTTAAAGGAATTAATACTTTTATTCAGCAAGGAGCAGGCCCGGTTCTTCACGGCTATAGAAGGGTCGGCTGGCAGATATCCTGGGTGGGCATTTTTTAATCGTCATCAGAGGTGGACAGTAACTAAGTACATTTACTTGAGTATTGTACTTAAGTACACTTTTTGAGTATCTGTACTTTACTTTTTTTTTCTTTTTTTTTTATGTCAAATAAGTCCTGCTGTTTTGCTTTTTTCTTTTTAGCAACATCATATGACCCCTTTAACATTCTAAAAGCTCATTATTCCAAAGATACTACAAGCTAGTCAGTGTATTCAGTAGGTGTAATGTATGGTAAGTTGCTTCAGAGGTATTGCAAGTATTACATACAACAATAATAAAAAACAGAAATGTACTTTTGGTACTTAAGTACTTTTAAAAGCAAGTACTTATGTACTTTTACTTAAGTAAAAATCTGTCTCTACAACTTTTACTTGTTATGGAGTAATATTTGACCAGCAGTATCTGTACTTTCATACTGGAGTTGTGTACTTTGTCCGCCTCTGGTCGTCATATCAACACATAGTCTAGAAAAATGCTATTGCCGTCATAATAAATTATAAAATACATGAATCATGTAAATGGCAGACCTACTTAACTTTCAAAACCGTGGAATTTGACAAAAAAAAAATCACTGGATATTGTTGGTCGTTTATGTCGGGGAACGCTACGTTTACAGTCGAGCCGCCTGTTGCAACGAACGCAACTTTCACCGCACAAGCTCTTTACTTACAGTTTTCATTCTTACATTCAGCATTAACAGCAATCCAAAAGGGGTAAGCTTTCAATTGAACTGTATAGCCCACATGCATTTTAGATGCTTAGCCTATATTATGCTCTTGCCCCGTACATGCACGTTATTATGAGCGGCTTTTTTAAAACATTAAAACCGTTCAGGTAATTTCAGTGGTAGGCTATGATGCATATTCATGTAGCCTATTAAACTCCCCGTAACTCACAAATAGCGCGCAAATATTTCTGCCCGTTTTTGCTCGTTGTCAGCCTCTGCTTTTCTGCAACAGACTGAAGCTCCGCGTGAAATCAGCACACCTTGCATTCAGCTAATAAAAGAAAAATGCTGCAATTTTCTGGTGTTATTTTATTATTGTTGGGGCAGTCTACAGCTATATCTTAAACTTCTTAAAATACAGTCCACTTCAGATTGATTTTAATCACTGCATAAAAAAAATTAACACAATCTTTATCTAATTCTGATTGAGTTGGCAAGACTGTCATTTGGGTGGGCTTAGCCCACCCCTGCCCATGCCTGGAGCTGGCCCCGGCAAGGAGGCATTAAA